CAGGCCGGTGCTCTGGGCGACGAGGTGGCGGCGGTGGGAGCCGCGGGAGGCGGAGGCGGCGCAGCTGTCGTGGGGGGGTCGGCGGCGCAGGGGGCGGCGGCGACAAGCCCCGGCGCGGCACTCACGGCGGCGGAGCAGGCGCCAGCGGCAGCAAGGAAGGGCTCGGCAGCGGCGGCCCCGGGTGCGGCGCGAGAGGGGGCGGCCGAGTTTGGGCCGGGAGCAGGCTGAGGCGGGGCAGGGACGGGCCCAGCGCAGGCAGGGTTAGGTGTGAGCTCGGGGCTATTACCTACACCTACGGCCCAAGATATTGCGGCCGAAAAGGGAAGGCCAAGATGCAGGGCTATGACACAGACGGGCCTCCCATGAATAATGGGCCGGAGCTTATCGGCCACTACACGAAGACCCATAACGAGTTGGGATGGTTGGATCTGGAAGATGGGCCCGAGTACGACGAACTTAGCCTGGCAGATCGACAGGCCAGGTGGGCCGAACTGGAGATTGACCAGAGGGGGCCTGGTGGGCCGAGGAGGGCCGCCGACCAGTTTGGGCAGGGGGGTCGGCTCCTATGGGGCGGACCGCAGCGGGCTGGGCCGAGACCGGTCGAGCCGGGATAGGGCGGACCGACATTGATCGAACCGAGGCGAGCCGAACCGGGCCGGGTCGGCCCGGAATGGGTCGACCCGAGGTGGGTCGAACCGGACATCGACCGAGTCCGACTGCTCAGCCGACTAGAAGGATGGACAGCAGGGGACCAGCAAGCTGGGAGGGTCCGTACGGGGTACCTCACGCCCCAGGAGGGTATCCGAACCTACAAGGCAGCTACCCGGGTGATTATGGGCACAGTAACCCAAGCCGGATGCAGTGCCCTTCTTTTGGGCAGCCGTGGAGGACTCCTGGAAATGACATGTATGGGTCCCACTATATGAACTATGAAGAAATGGATGGAGTAGTTTTTCGAGCTAAGCCTCATACCATTGAGTTCCCGAAATTCAATGGGCAAGAGGATGCAGGCCTTTGGTTGTATGCAGTTGAGAGGTGGTTTAAAAACCACCTGATTCGGGAGGAAAGGAAGGCCTACCTGGCATCGTTCTATTTGGAGGGAGATGCGCTTCAGTAGTGGGAATGGATGGAGAGATCCTACGCAGCCGCCGCAACCTTGATCACCTGGCCTATGTTTCAGGAAGAGCTCCGCTATCAGTTTGGGAAGTCAGATGGGTGGGCTCCTGAGCAGTTGGCGAAGCTGAAGCAGACCGGCACGGTGGCTGAATACCGTGCGGAGTTCTTCAAGTTGGGGAACCAGTGGAAAGGAGTCTCAGAGGAAACCTTGGTGGGCTGTGCATGGCAGGTCTTAAGCCCGAGATAGCAGCGGCAGTCAGAGTGTTCGAGCACGATTCCTTGAAAGCTGCTTTTCGTCTTGCAGGTCATAAGGAGGAAGAACTGGCTATTTGGAGGAGCACCATTGGCCGCTTCTCGAAGTCGAGCGGAGGAGGAGGAAGCAGATGGAGCAGTGGCGGGAACTGGAAGGGCACCAGTGGGAGGCTCGACTGGAGCTAACATTGGCGGTGGAGGCCCTGCTCCGGTGGCTAGGATGGGACCGCGAGCCATTCCCAAGGGGTTCGTGCGACTGTCTCCGGCCGAGGTCGAGCAAAAGAGGCGGGAGGGAAAATGTTTCAATTGTGACGGTCGGTTCACCATCGGCCATCAATGCCCGAAGCCGGACCTGATGATGTTAGTGGGGGCATTGGTAAGACGAAGCGGAAGACGCAACCGAGGAGGACGGGATTGGTGAAGAGGCGACCCAGTGAGCTCGAGGAGCAACCTTGGGGACAAGGTTGATTTTCGAAGGAAACGAGGATGATAGAAACCTAGTAATTTTAGTAATTTGTTTAGTTGTCGGATTATAGCTATTACAGATTATTGGGACCATTTCGGGAATTGGGAATAAATTATATGTTGGGTAGTAGTAGGTAATTATCCAATTATTATATATATTACTTGTAAGTGGGGTTAGGCCACTAAGCAAGATTAAACCTAAAACCTAATAGCCTAATCTCTCTCTCTCTCTCTCCCCTGCCTCTGCCGAACCCTCTCTTCCCCCCTCTCCTTGGCTGCCGGTGGCAGCAGCTTCCCCTCCCTCTCTTCTTCTAATCAAATCCACAAATTCACTCTCCCTTCCATTTCCCAATTAGCCGGATCAATCCCTAGTTGATCCTAATCCCTAATCCACTGATAGAGTTCGCACTCGAGTTCTATCAGTGCGCGCCGCCAAGTTTGGGGTAAAATTCCCCATCGCCAACAAAAGGGTAAAGCCCAGTAGAAGGACCGGAGGAACGCCAAAAAATCCCTGCCGCCGCCGGTGGTGCGGGGAGAAGTCCAAGTAAATGGACGACGGGGATGGATACGAACCAGCCATATATTTTCTATTTTAATTTACAAATAAATAAATCGTATGATTACTAGCATGTTCTTCATTAAATTAGATTAATTTGAGCCATTGGATTTTAATGAGGTGCAAGGGCTGAGATTCACTTAGTCATGTGACTATGGGATCCCCCTTAGTCACCTGATCTTAGACCGCCTAAAACTATATTAAAAAAACTTGACGTAAGGCGGACGCACAGCCTACGTGAATCGGTGATTCAACAATTTCTATCCTTCAAAATTGTTTGTCCCCAATTGAAAAGGAAAAAAAATCATTTGATGGTGGTACGAGTTCTTATGTTTGATAAAATGATCTGATGACATCATATATCAGTATCAATCGTGTTGGTATGATGTAAATATTACAAAATGAATATCATTAAACAGATCTTAATTAATGATGGTCATATGATAATGATATGATGTTGGCATATAGTCTTATGTGTGACAAAATAATTTGATGAGATCATATCATGATATTATAACTATGATATAGTGATAATATCATGATATGACATCCTTATCCTTATCCTTATCCTTACTTAATATTATAGGAATTCAAAACTAAATTTGTGCCACATACATGGCTAGCTCTCATTCATCCAATGTGGATAACCTCTAATAATAATTGAAATATTTTTTTCTTGCACTTTAATGCACCATTATTAGAAATAAAACATAAATTGAGTTAATAACAATGTTAAAGTTCCAATCAATGCAATCTTTGGTTTTCTTCTATCTCTTTGTTGAAAGCTTCTCTCTCAAAAGAAAATTCAACATTGAAAGGCAAAAAAAAAAAAAAAGGGATCAAGTTCCATAAAACAAACAAAACTCTCTTCTTATTTACTAAATTACTTTTTAGATTTATAATGTTTATCTTCTTTACTTTTTACACAGTGATAAAGGAAGGAAATAATACTACATATGTGGTTTTGTTTGTTTGTGGATAATGGAGAGGGAGTTACATGAAGCAATAGTTAGATGGAAAATGATTGATCAGTTGTAACATATTTTTGAGTTGTTGACGGGGGAAAATTCTGATAGGATATAGTTTGGGCTTAGTATGTTTACCTATTATTCATTGTTATTGTGTTAGTATGTGTATTCATGGGTTAGTTGTAATAGGGTTACGTAGTCGTGTGTTAGTTGCATGGGCCGAATGGTAGAGCAAGGTTAATGGGCAATTAAGGTTAATTGTCCAGTAGCCTCCTTGGTAGGTTGCCGACCGCCGAGTTGTGTAGGGTCAGTAGTTGTTCTCGGTTATAGCTAGGGTTACGTATTAGGTTTAGTCGTCTATATAATGTAACTACGGCATTAGTCCGAAGAAATCAATAATAAACCTAAAAACAGTCTTTGGACACTTTACGTCGTACTCTCGCTTGTGAGTTACAAGCAAACCCTGACCCGATAGCAACAGGTTGCTATCAATTGGTATCAGAGCATGTCTTTCGATCTCACCACGTGCTGCGCGGCAACGCAATGTACCGCCAGGGCATGTTACACGTTGGGTGAGCGTATGGGTGCTTTGGAGAAACTGCTGGCGGGGTTTATCCCCGAACGTATGACCGTCATCGACGGGAAGCGAAGCGACGACGACGTGGCCCGCGTCGACGCCAATGAAGTCAGGGCAGCGGAGAAGATGGAGATCTCCGTCAACGAGATCGATGGGAAGGAAACAGTGCGTCACCACCTCGATGAGGCTCTCACCTATCGATTCGGAAGCTGCGAGAAGGAGGCGTTCATGGTTGGAGTACAAATCGTGCAAGACAAAGCGGCTATTGGCAGCATGGAAGTTTCGGTGCCGCAAAAAGGGACGCCATTGACAATCGAGCCCCCGTTGCGCGATTTGCGGGGGGGGAGATGGATGTGTGCTCGTTGGGTCACGGGAGCAGGAGAAGGTAGATTCTCACGCAAGAGCACGACGCAACCAAGGCAGATCGACTATTGGCGGTGGAAGCTTTCACTACAAAAAAAAGTGGCTTTGCTGAGGGGTTAAAACGGTCGGTACAACCCATAAAACGGCCGGCATAAGTTATTACCGGCGGGATAAATCCCTCCGTTATCGGCTTCGCCGTTATAAGTAATAACGACGGGTTTATGTCAATCGGTCGGTAATGTCAATAGTGAGAGGGGCCTTTCCTGCCGGTAAAAGCTATTATTTACTATCAATATTTTTATCATTCCCGAGGGGCTTCCCGTCGTTGGAGGTAAATACTAAATGTCTTAATTTGGCCGGCATAATGGGCTTATTGGGGTCATGAATCTGTACTGTGATTAGTGGAGACCAGAAATCTGGTTGGTCTGTCTTTATTAAATAAAGTCACAATTTGAAACTTTTTTACCTCTTATAATTCAACACTCTACAACGTGCATATAATAGTAAGACAAGATCAATAATAATTCAACCACATATGATAAGTATATATATATAGTCGATACACAAAACGGACAATGAACTTTACAAAATATGCACAAGGCATTACTTAGCTTCAAGAGTATTGTTCGAAGCAAAATATTAACAAAACATCAAAATTCATTAAGAATGTTGATGACCTCTTGTCCATTGAGCTCCTCTGGTATGCCAATGATTCTGTTCATGACATGAGTATCACAAAATATGAGAACTTCCACTAAACTTGCATAGAAAAACTAAAATGGAGGATTTAAAAAAAAAGATATTCATTTTAAACCAGTAACACCATAATCAGAAGTAAGCTTAGGAGAAGAGACACAAAAGAAAAACAAAGTAGGAACATGCCACATGGAAACTTGAAGCACACTGGAAAGATGAGAAGAAGCATGTACAGGAGTCAGGACATGGTTATATATTTCACAAACAAACTGCTCGCAAAAACTAGTTCACAATCAACAATGCACGATTTAATTAACTAAGGCAAACATGCAAATACCTTACTAGATGGAATTCTGGATGTTGTGCGACATATTTGGGAAAGATGTTGTTGCTTGTTGAGCCATGACCATTTCTCTCAAAAGACTTAGCTCGAAGCTAAAATTAGCCTCCATCGTATCCATACGACGTTGTAAAGCAACTTTCTCAGCTGCAATTGTTTCCTTTTCAACTGCAATTGCTTCCTTTTCAGCTTGAAGAGCTTCTTTTTCACCTTGAAGAGCTATTATTTCCTCCTCACGATGCTGCAGCCTTTCTTCAATTTCCGGATCCCTTCTAGATTTACGCCCCTTTAATTGCTTTGTTGTTATCCCACATCCATACCCAACTATATGACCATGCTTCTGTGGTCCAAACACCTTCTCCACAACATCTATCTTTTCCATCGATGGATTTGCTTGCTCAATTTGAACTATTTGATCCTAATAACAAGAACAAAAGCTTAGATCAATCATAGAACACGAGATGGTACATTGAATAATAATGAAGTATAGCATACAAGTTTCACGGTGGACTCTGGATCTAGAATTCCACCCTTCTTACGCGATTGAGAGAAAACTTTTGATAGAGATGGCTCTTTTCCGTCTTTACCTCCCTATATATATACAAAACACTCATCAATGTTAATCTAGAGAAAAGGAAACGACAACTTAATTTTTGCGGGCTAAAACTTCATAATAAAGTTGTGATACTATTATAGTGCATCATTCTTTAACCAAAAAGCTTGGGTATACTCGAGATGTGTATACAACATAGCAATAGTCCACAAGCAAGAACACTGATAGAGACAAAACCAAAAGCAGCCCCTAATAAAATGTTCAGCAACTCTTAAGGAAAGAAAAATAGAAGTTGATGGAAAGAGGAACTTTATAGTTTTACAGCTTGTAACATTCATATATGAGAAAGAAGTAAAAATAGATTACCATTTCATAAATCATCTCAGCAAGTGACATGCTTCCAAGGTGACATGGCATTGATGCTTGTGCCCTGTTGTTTGAATTTCTTAAACTTGTTTCCTGCAAGAGAAACCCAAAAAAGGGTAAATTACTATATAAACCAAGACTTACAAATATTAGTGATGGTGTTTATAGATTACCTTGAACCCATCAGTCCAATAATGCTCTCTTACCAACCACTCCCAATCATCTTGCCCCATCCAATATGGCTTATTTTCAATAGCACTTTCAATAGAGTCGCACGGCTTTATGTGATCAATATTCAAATCACACCTATAACTTGTCCAATTTTTCCTGATCTTTTTAAAGAGATGCTTCCTGTAGCCCTCAATGTTAGGGTGAGTAAACTTCTCCTGATAATAAATGGGACTTGTAAAAGTTTGGTTAAAGGCAGTAAGTAAAATTTTAGATACGATAGGTGAGTAATTTTCTTACCACTATAGCAGCCCACAAATGGTTTTCCACTTCGTCTCCCATTTCTTTCCAGCCATGTACTCGAATAGGACAAATTGTATTATCACGAATCAGTTTGCCCACATGCCTTGAGAAATACTTTTTGTTAACACCAACTGGTTTATTGAGGAAGAAATCTATAGGTAACTTCTCTCCAGGCTTCAACCGGCCAACTACTTTGCACTTGTTCTTACTTCTTACTTTTCTCTTCTCTATAATAATGGGACCTATGAAATTCAGTAGAACGAATTATAGAGAAAGGTAACTAAACTTTTGAGAATAGCCCAAGTAACGAGAAAATAACAATGGAAATTAAGGAAGGCTTCAACCTTGAGAATCTCCATCCATTACTTGATCATGATTAGGTTCTAATTCTTCTACCTCGGCAACTTGATCTAAGAAAGCAGCATCATGTTGCTCTGTTTGTGATGGAGGATCGCCTGAGAATGTGCTTCTACCTGTCATCGGCAAGCAAAATCACTCAAAGATCTAGAAGAGGTAGATATTATATGGAATGGAAGAAAAAGATTCTAATTGGTTTTACCTTGGTATAAATTAGGAGGAATATCCAATCTCGAAGGAATTTGACGTGAAATTCTGCTACAATTAACATCATGAGAAGAGCTGCTAGAAGATGCGAAAATATGAAAATTTGTACTTGGTCGTTTCATTGCAAGTTTCCTTAACGTGTCAGGACGAACAAATTTTCTATTGTTCTTCTTAGAAGCATTTGCTTCTGTCAACTTCATAATGCCCTACAGTAAGGAAACCATCATTAACAAATTTCACAAACTTGAACATGCATACAAACGTACAAGTACTCTTTGGATTGATTGAAACGTTTTGAAAAGGAAACGGTAAGAAATTATAACAACAAAAGCAACCAATTAGAAACTAAAAGCTCCAGAGCTAAACAAACCAAACATGATAGGAGCTTTTGAAAGAGTTTAATATCTATCTACAACAAAATACCAAAAATATACATAAGAAACTAACAGTAGCAAATTTGCATCAGTAGAGCACCTGGATTGCAGCAGAACTCATAATTAATAGTCATTGAAACATATACATTACTACATGACAATCAACATTATCACTCTCGCCAATAAGACTTATTATTCTTATCTCCTTTATTTATTTCCTCCCACTGAAGACCATTATTTTTCTTTCATTTGAATATTAGCATATTGGTTTTTGTTGTATAAATAGCATAGCTTTGTAAAAAATTTAAAGAAAGAAGCGGAGAACCAATTCTCATTTTCTTTTCATTTGGTGTCATTTGTAAGCACCCATCACTGCCAAACCAAGCACCCAACCACCACTAAAACGCAATTAGATCACACCATAAGTCAATCATTTTGCAAGATCCATCATCAACAATTACAATCTTCTGCATGTTTTTTTCTCAAGTTAGTCCCCCACAATAAGATTGAAGTACTTTCAATCACACATATTACAACCAATCACACACTCACAGATAACCAGAGAATCATGCAATCCAAACCCAGATGGCCCCAGCACAGGGGAAGAGGATGCAAAGCAGAGCAAAGCAACAACTAGCTTTGCAACTAACCCTAGATTAATGAAAACTAGTGATTGGTCTCAACACAATGAGTGAAAAATTACTCTTTTTGAAAGGCTATCCCTAAAGTAGATTAAGGAAACCGCCCATTGATAAACCCAAAAGGAGTTTCATAAACACAACCATGGGATTCGAGTTCTAGGGTTGCGATACCATAATTTCGATAGTTGAATTAAGCCGACTAGAGATTCAATAGTGAAATGCATGTGATTTAAAACATGAAATTCCACCTCTATTAGTCATTGAACCCAATAGCTAGAACAAATCAAACCATCGATTATCTTTTACAGCTCAGATTTTGATACCTTTCCGTTCTGTGTAGAGCAGCACCGAATGTGAGAGCTTTTCTGCGATTAAGCTTACTGATGAAGCTGTCAAGCGAACGGAGAACACTCTGTTCCTCCTCCCTCTGTCGATGAGAAACACGTCGTCGGCGTCAATGTTAGGGATTGACTATTGAAAGAGAACTCAACCCTTTCAGTTTCTGATGAAATGAAAGAAAAGGCAAAGTACACCACAAGTATATTTAATAAATTTTCCGCAAAGACGACCCCGCGAAATTTGCCGCTCTATCACTCAATTTTTTCGTTAAAAATTTCCAAAAGAACCCGCGAAACTTAGCCACCTCTCTGCTCAAGTTTTTTCGACAATAACGAGGGGTTGTTTAGTCGTTATTATTTTTCAAGCAATGACGAGGGGAATTAAATGACATTAACGAGGACAAATATTTACCCCTCGTTAAAGAATCCTGTCCAACTTAGAATACCGACCGGGTACAAATTCCCTCGGTATTAATTTACTTTCACCGGCTGGAATCTCTCCCCTCACCCCCATTACCCTCGTTAGAGCCACAATTTTTTGTAGTGTTTCCACCCACGATCGAAGGCCCTGCTGAAGTCGTACACAGGCCATCGATGAGGAAGGAGCCAAGGTGGAAACCCCACGAGTGGCGGGTTGGAAGGGGAAGTTCGCATGCGGGTTCAAGAGAGAGGGAGAAGCCACTTGTCGAGGACGTCTTGATTGATGGAGAGAAGTTGCGGTTTGGACTTGGACATGCACCGAGGGTTGACGGGGGAGGGGTGTGGCGTCGCGTCCCGGCCGGTAGGAAAGAGAACAAGGGTCAACCAAAGAGCTGGAAGTTTAGGAAGCGAGGAAAGCGACATCGTCGTAAGCACTTCCATTGTCATCATAGTCAACCTCCGCCTATCAATGTTGACCGAACCTTGGAGACCAAGGTTCTTGGAAGGGGGAAGGAATGATAGGATATAGTTTGGGCTTAGTATGTTTACCTATTATTCATTGTTATTGTGTTAGTATGTGTATTCATGGGTTAGTTGTAATAGGGTTACGTAGTCGTGTGTTAGTTGCATGGGCCGAATGGTAGAGCAAGGTTAGTGGGCAATTAAGGTTAATTGTCCAGTAGCCTCCTTGGTAGGTTGCCGACCGCCGAGTTGTGTAGGGTCAGTAGTTGTTCTCGGTTATAGCTAGAGTTACGTATTAGGTTTAGTCATCTATATAATGTAACTACGGCATTAGTCCGAAGAAATCAATAATAAACCTAAAAACAGTCTTTCGACACTTTACGTCGTACTCTCGCTTGTGAGTTACAAGCAAACCCTGACCCGATAGCAACAGGTTGCTATCAAATTCATCGTATATTTGTGAACACAAAGCATTGTCGACTATTCCCTTTTTCCCTTGATGCACAACTAGTGATTGATCTCTCTTCCCCAACAATATGTGGTTGCTTACGATTAACTGACTGAGTTCTACTCTTCTGCCCATCATGTATCTCTTCCCATTCTTTTCTTAATTTCTTCCAGATTATGAAGGTGGGGTCGTAAGTTTTCCACTAGATTTTGCAAATGTATTTCTTTTCTTCTTCATTTTCCAAGTAGTTTATTCTATCCGAGGAGAAAACCATCTTGCGACAGCAAACCTCAACCCCAATAGATACCCGAAAACTCGAAAAAAGTTTAATACGAGCTGACAGCCTTGGCGGTGGCCACCAAGGGGTAAAGGAAAAGGCGCGACTGCCAAGGATCGATCAAGGACCTCCTAGACACAATCCTGCGCTTTTACCACCTCTACCATCCCTTGGTGGTTTCCAAGTAGTTTTATATGATTCTCTCTCTTGCCTTATACTTTTATAAAAATAGGTAATAGATATTTGGAAGGGTTAATTTATAGGACTTAGAGAATCTCTCTTTGGGTTGCAAAATTGATCATGTTCCTTGGAGGCCTATCGGATCATGATTCCTTGGATGCTAAATGGAAAACAGAGTTGTGAGGGTTGTCATATTGCCAAACTCCATCAGAGGATGTTTGTTTGTGTTTGTTATGTTCAAGATCAACATGCTACTAACTAGCCATATAATGATGATAAGAT